ATAGAAGAGCACGAAGTGGCCTACAGTTGGCTCCGGGCATCCAAAATGTGGCCCGGGAGTGGCGCTCTGGGAACTCGAAGAGCACGAAGTGTGTGACTGTTGCATCCGGCCCCCCAGAATGTGGCCCGGGAATGGCGTTCTGGGATGTCGAAGAGCACTTTGCGTGTGACTGTTGCATCCGGCCCCCCAGAATGTGGCCTGGGAGTGGAGTTCTGGGAAGGCGAAGAGCACGAAGTGTGTGACTGTTGGTGAAAAACGAGCCCGGCTCATGCCGCCCGGAAACGCCCCAACACCTGCCATGACCCCCCTGTGGAGTGATCTGTGAGCTCTTTTGAGTCAACTAGAAACCTATCAGTCTTCGCTGTTAGGTAAAAAATGGGACGTAGTTGCACACGCGGCTTTCGTCGCGTGTGTGCGCATGCCGAAATCCTTCAAAAACCTGCGGTGCCGGGAAGGATTTCGCAATCTGCAACGTTTCCAAACCACATACAAAAACACGGGTTTCGCATCACTGATTTGCTTAAAAAGCTTACCGCGCGAGCTCTCTTTGCAAATCTTAGAAAACCATGTTTTTCAAGGATTTTCACAAACATGCTACCAAACGGGCTCGTCGCGCGCGCATGTCGGAAATCTGTCGGAACACCTTGCGCGTGTTGACGTCGCGAGAATACTCTGCAAAAAATGAGACGAATTGCAGCGCGCGTCGTCGGCGCGCGTACGATCGAAGAAATCCTTCAAAACCCTTCCGTTTCGGAGAGATTTCAAAATCGTGTCCAAAAAATATACAAAACACAAGGTTTCGCAACACGGATTTTCAACAAAAGCGTGCGCGCGCACTCTTGCGTCGTCGTCGTCGTCGCCGTCGTCGTCGTCGTCCGTCCTCCCTTCCCTCCCGCGTCGTTCCGTCCCGGTCGTCGCTACGTGTCCTCTGTCTTTCCTCGTGTTGTCGTCGTCGTCCTCTTTCGAGCTGTGCGTGGTCGTTTCGTCGTCGTTGTCGCCCGTGGTCGTCCTTCCTCGTTCATCCCTCGTCGTCCGGTCGTCGTCGTTCTTCGTCCGTCGTCGGCGTCTCGTCGTCGTCCCTCCTATTTCGTCGCCGTCGTCGTCGTTTCGTCGTTGTCGTCGTCAGCTCTCGTCGTCGTCTTTCCCTCCTCCTGTCGTTGTCGTCGTCGCGTCTCGCCGTCCTTCCTCCTTCTTCGTCGTTCGCGCCGTCGCCGTCCTCCCTCCTCCCTCGTCGTTGTCGTCGTTGTCGTCGTTGTCGCCGTCGTTTTCCTCCCTCCTCCCTCGTCGTCGTCTTCGTTGGCGACGTCGTTGTCGTCGTCGTCGTTGTCTTCGTCGTCGTCGTCGGCGTCGTCGGAGTCGGCGTCGTCGTCGTCGTCGTCGTCGTCGTCGGCGTCGTCGTCGTCGTCGGTGTCGTCGTCGTCGTTGTCGTCGTCGAAGTCGTTGGAGACGTCGTCGGTGTCGTCGTTGTCGGTGTCGGCGGCGCCGTCGTCGTGGTTGTCGCTGTCGTCGTCGGCGTCGGTGTCGTGGCCAAGTGCTATGTGGTACCTACCGTCACGGTCTTGTCTTAAGATGTCTTGCGACCAAGTTGCGGGTGGGAGGGTGGGATGTGTACACGAGCAGCGGAGAGGACAGCTTCAAGACGGTCAAAGTGAATTCCCTTCCCCTTAATTCTTCCCTTCCCGTTAACTCTTCCCGTTAATTGTCTCGTATTCCCTTTAATTGTCTTGTCTTCCCGTTAATTGTCTTGTCTTCTCGTTAGTTGTCTTGTTGTGTATGCCTGTTAATTGTCTTGTATTCACGTTGATTGTCTTGCATTCCCTTTATCTGTTACTTTTCGACTCCAAGGCCCCAGTGGGTGCGCCCGCATACAGGAGGAGATGGAGGAGGAGGAGGAGGAGGAGGAGGAGAATCTCCGGATTCGCCCTCCTTCTCTGGGTTCTGGGAGATCCCGGGAGGTCCCGAATTAACGGGAATTACCGTCCAGGCATTAGAGGGGGAAAAGTTTCCCGGGAGGTCCCGGGAGGTGGGGCCCCGGGAGGTGGGGGCTTTCCCGGCAATTCGTTGTGATTGTTTCAATCAATATAATTATCGGGAAATTATCGGGAAGAGTTCCCGGGAGGTGGGGCCACGGGAGGTCCCTGGGAGGTCCGTTAATTCTGGACGGTAATCCCCGAACCCTTGGACGGTAATCCCCAGCAATGAGAATCATGTGGGGCGAGGGGTGGGGGAGCTCGGGTTGCTCTCTTGCAGTTGCGCCTCGCCGAGAGCCTCCTCCCGTGCCTCCTCCCGTGCCTCCTCCCGTGCCTCCCCAGGGCTCCTGTAGGCCTTTGAGGTCCATGGGTGTGGTTTTCCTGTAGCCCCATCCCCTCTACGTGTAATATAGGGATATCGGCTAACCGTGTAAGACCGAGTATGACTGACGCCCATAATCATTAGTTGGAGCACGCGGGAATTATAGGGAAATTATAGGACTTATAGGGAAATCTATAAAAATATTGGAATTAGGGAATTATGGGGAAGTTATAGGGAAGCTCAAACCGGGAACTATCGGTAACTCAAAACCCGATCCCCCCTCTTGTAACACAACGGGCGCGCTCAAGGTAGAATGGTCGTTTTCGGTTGTTCCTTCGGGTTTTTGTATGTTTGTCGGGTTCTCCCCTCTCCCGTCCCAGAAGAGCCAAATACCGCCCAAGACAGCCCCAAGACGTCCCAAGAGGCTTCCAAGACGCCCCAAGAGGCGCCCAAGAGGCGTCCCAAGAGGGCCCCCAGAGGCCCAAATACGGCATATACGGCTTGTCGGCTTTGTTTGCATATACGGTTTTTCGGCTTTCACGGCGTCGACTACGGCCCAAGAGGCCCCAAGACGGCCCAAGAGGCTCCCAAGAGGCCCCCAAAACGGCCCAAGAGGGCCCCAAGTCGGCCCCAGAGGCGCCCAGGACGACTCAAGAGGGCCCCAAGACGGCCCCAAGAGGGGGACCACCAACCGAAAAGTTTGGCCTTTCGCCCCAAGACCCTCCCAGGAGGCCCCAAGAGCCCCCGAAGAAGCCCCAAGAGGCGCCCCAATAGGCCACCAGGAGGCCAAAATCATAGATTTCCCTTTCGGAAAACGAGCATTTTTAGCATACACTGTTTTTCGGCTTTCACTGCGTTGAAGACGGTCAAAGAGGCCCCAAGACCGCCCCACGACGGCCCAGGAGGCTCCCAAGAGACCCCCAAAACGGCCCAAGAGGAGCTTCCGCAAAAAAGAGCTGAGGAGGATGGGGAGAATGCGCAGTGCATGGCGACAATAAAGAGCAAGAAACATGGAGGAAGGATAACGAATAACATTATCATAGCGGCGATGCCAGAAACTGCATACCAAACTTCAAGGATCAAGGTGCATGGCGCGAAGCGCCACTGCAGTCTTGTGTATATATATAGATACAAGACTGCAGTGGCGCTTCGCGCTATGCACCTTGGTCCTTGAAGTTCGGTATGCAGGCGGAATGGCAGGAAGGTCAAGCCGACAATGGTTGCCTTTTCCGGCATCGCCGCTATAATGATGCTTTTCGTTACCCTTCCTCCATGCTTATTGTTCCTTATGTTCGCCATACCCTGCGCATTCTCCCCATCCTCCTCAGTTCTTTTTTGCGGAGGCTCCTCCTTGGAGAGCCTAGGGGCCTCACAAAAGTTGTTTCGGGCTTTCTTAAGGCCTTCTGGAGGCCTCCTGGGCGTATTCTGAGGGCCTCCGGGGGCTATCTCGGGCCACCCTGCCTCCAACCGCGGTCTCCCTGAACGACCGAATCACGATTTGGAATTCTTCGGAGGGTATCTTTAGGCCATCTTGGGCCGCCATGGGACTCTCTGAGGGCCATCTTGGACCCGTGTTGTGCCGTTTTGGGGCTCTCCTGGACTGCCTGGAAGCCCTTTCGGATGGTTGTGGGGCGATTTGGGAGCCTCCCAGGCGGCTTCGGACGCCCAGAAGACCACCGTCTTGGAGCGTCGGGAAGCCGACAAAAGCAGAACCCCACAATTCACTAAAACCCCACGGAAAATCAATGAATTTTGCCTCGGGGGGCCTTCTTGGGAGTGCTCTTGGAAGCCTCTTTGGGGCCGTCCTGGAGGCCTCTTGGGCCATCTTGAGGTCACGTCGGTCACTCTTGGAGCGCTTTTGTGCTGTCTTGGGGGTCTCTGGGACGTTTCCGATGACCCCCCCGATCGCCCTAGGTGTGCTGGGAAGGCTTGGCAAAACGCTTTGCGAGGCCCGGTGGCCGCTTCGAGCCCCGTCCGGAGGGCCCCAAAGCCCCAGGTCCCGGGAGTCCGGTTTTTTTTTTTTGGGGGGGGGGGGGGGGGGGCCCCCCGCCCGGGCTTATAAAAAGCACACCCAGCACACCCACAGCACACCCACATGGTGGAGTGAGGGGGAGGAGGGGTGGTTCCCCCCTCAGCGTCCTTATCTTCTTCCTCCTGCTCCTCTTCATCCTCATGGTTCCTCCTCCCCCTCATGGGGGGCATCCTCCTCATCGTCATTATCTTCCTTCCCATGCTCCTCATTATCCTCGTTCCTCCTCCCTCTCCTCCTCCTCCTCTTCTTCCTCCTCCTCCTCCGCATATTCCTCCTCCTCCCCCTGCTCCTCCTCCTCCTCCTCCTCCCTCTCCTCCGCATATTCCTCCTCCTCCTCCTGCTCCTCCTCCTCCTCCTCCTCCCTCTCGTCCCCCTGGAGGAGGAGGGGAGGGAGGAGGAGGAGGAGGAGGAGGAGGAGGAGGAGGAGGAGCGTTCGGCCCCCTCACTCTGATTTTATGTTTCAATGTGCGGCCCAGAAGTCCCGACCCCTTCCCCGGGACTTCGCCCTGGGTGAACTCTTGATTGTCCTGTGCCCGAAAACAGGCCCCCGAGGCCGATTTTCCAGGAAGAAACGCCCGGACTGGTTGAACGAAGCATAATCGTCGGAGGTTTGGGAAGCTCGAGCCTCGATCTGCGATCCGCCAGACATTTGAGGGGGGCGGGGCTGGCGCCCGAGGTCTCCGCAGGCGCCCCAACGGCTATCCACCGGTGCCCTGGTGGAGCAGCTTGGGCTCGCCGAGGGGCGGCTGCACTACGGGCTGCTCACCGGCACCGGGCCCGACGAGGCCCGCACGGCCACCGGCGACGGCGACGACTGCGACGATGCCGCCGCCGCCGCCGACGACGACGACGACGCTTTCAGATGGCGCCGCGCTGTCGGTCCAGCCGATGCGCGGCAGGCGCCTCGCACGCGCGGTGCGCACGGGGCTTCCCCGGGCAAGGTGGCCCCCACCCCAGGACAGATATATACCGAGGCCTTTGCCCTGCAAGGGAGCCGGCATTGGCACCTCAGGCCGCCCCGCCTCGCAGGTCAGCCCTCCTCGCCTCCTCGGCTCACGCTCCCCTCAGCGCGGGCCTCGCCTTCCTCGCCCTCGCTAGGGCTCCCCTCAGCTCCAGCCTGAAACTCGTCGCCCTCCCCTGGGCGTCTTCGCCCCTCCTTCAGCACACCCCGCCTCCACGGCACGGGCCGCCGCTCGCCCTGCCTCCTCCTGCCTGGCCGCCGCCCCCAGCTCGAGCAGTCCTCGCTCGCTGACGCCGCACGCCTCGCAGACGTCGACCAGGGGCCCGAGGGACAGTGTCCTGCCGTACCCCTCTGGCGGCCTCAGCACCTTACCCTTTTTGGTGCCAGGGTACCCCTCCGCAGCTCCTGCTTGGGCCAGCTCCGCCTGTAGGCCTCCGCTGACCCCGATCGGGAACTCGCACCTCATCACTCCTCGACCTGGCCCGGGGCGTCGCCCAAGTTGGAGCCGCCTCAGCTGCTTCCTTGGGCCCGTCGCGCCCGTGCACTACTGGAAGATCAGGCATTTCCTCGCCTTCTGCGTGGCCATCCTGCCAGCCATGCAGCATGACCCGCACATCCTGTACGCGTGGCCAGTCACCTCCGCATTGACCACGCGGTGCTTGCAGAGGTGGTGGCCTAGCCACCCCACGAGCTCCTCAACCTTCTCGCTTCAATGCGCCTCCACATTCCGTGCCTCCTCACCTGCGCCTTCCTTCGCTTCATCCTGCTCTCTCCCCGCCGCCTCGCAATACGTAGCACACCGCAGTTGCGGATACGAGTGAGGGGGCGGCGAGGACGTCGTCAGTCTGCGAGGCTTTGAAGAACCCCGCCACAGGCGCCGAACTTTCACAAATGATGCAGTGAGCCCGCCGCAGGCGCCGAATCCTTCGTTAAAGCAATGCGGGTGGATCGCGGGTGGGCCGCGGGCTGGGTCGCGGGTGGGTCGTGGGTGGGTCGCGGGGTGGGTCGCGGGGTGGATCGCGGGTGGGTTGGTCGCGGGTGGGTCGCGGGGTGGGCGCGCGGGTGGGTCGCGTATGGGTCGCGGGTGGGTCGCGGGTGGGTCGCGGGGTGGGTCGCGGGGCGGGTCGCGGGTGGGTCGTGGAATGGGTCGCGGGATTGGTCGCGGGATTGGTCGCGGGGTAGGTCGCGGGTTGGGTCGCGGGTGGTTCGCGGGTGGGCCGCGGGGTGGGTTCGCGGGTGGGTCACGGGCGGGTCACGGGTTGGGTCGCGGGGTTGGTCGCGGGGTGGGTCGCGGGTGGGTCGCGTATGGGTCGCGGGTGGGTCGCGGGCGGGTCGGGGGGGGGAACGACGATAACAACAACAACAACAACAACAACAACAACAACAGCAACAATCATTCTAATATTGTTCGCTCTGACTTGCCCGCGTGTCATTCCAAACGAGTTCCCCACACCCTCGATACCCGCTCTTGTTGTCTTCGATCGCACCCCCTTTGGGGGGATTATTTCTCTTTGCGGGGGGCGGTGGGCTTAGACACACGGGCAAACCTGAACGGGCGGACAATCCTTCGTGGGCGTACATGTGCCCGCCATTGGAATTGGTGTGGGCCCTGCAAAAAGAGGAGGGGAGAACGAGGGAGAGTAAGAGGAAGGGAGGGGGAGGGACGAAGGAAGAGGGAAAACGCCAAGAGAGAAGGAGCGAAGAGGGGGGGCGGTTAATTAGAGGCAGGGAGAGAGGGATAGAGAGAGAGGGGGAGAGAGAGAGAGAGAGAAAAAAAAAAGAGAGAACAAAAAAAACATAAACTATAGGTAGAGAAATAGAGAGAGAGAGAGAGAAAACAAAAAAAGAGAGAGAGAGAGAGGGGAGAAAGAGAGAGAGAGAGAGAGAAATAACGAGGGACGGAGGAGGCAGGAGAGCGGAGGGAAAAGGGAGGAGGGAGAGGAGGGAGAGGGGACAGGGCATAGAGGCAAAGGATGAGGGAAGAGAGGAGGGAGAGAAAAGGGAGGAGAGGAGGGAGGAGGGAGGAGGGAGAGGGAGGAGGAGCACGAAGGTAAGAGCGTGAACGTTCGAGGAAGTCATAATCAGGCGAAAGAGCCGTTCCTGAAGGAAGTCTCGGGCGGGAGCCCACGACGGGCGGGCGATCCCCTGACGGGCGGGTCGGGCAGGTGGGACATTCAAGCGGGATGCCTGAGTATGGCGAGAGCGCGGTTACGTAGCACCCCGCAATTGCGGATAAGAGTGAGGGGGCGGGCGCGGACGACGCGGGCGTCGAGCCGGCGGGCCTCGTGGCCCTCACTTTCCTTGTCGATGGCGCCCTCCTCCTCCTCCTCCTCCTCCTCCTCCTCCTCCTCCTCCTCTTCCTCCTCCTCCTCATCATCCCCCTCCTCCTCCTGCTCCTCCTCCTCCTCCTCCTCCTCTTCCTCGTCCGCGTCTTCGTCCTCATCGTCGTCGTCGTCGTCGTCCGCCTCCTCCTCCACCTCCTCCTCCTCTTCCTCCTTTTCCTCATGTGGCGGGGCCCGACCAGATCCGCGAGGCGAAGGGGGCAGCGGCGCACAGCATTCGGCGGCGACGAGATGCCAGCGGACTGGCGCATCATCGCCACCAAGCGCCCGCCTCCGCATGAGGCCCACGCCCGCCCGCAGAAGCAGCCGCCAGCGGCCCAGGAGCGGGAGCAGGAGGCGGAGGGCAGGGCAACCCTGGTGGTGGAGGACGCTACTGTCACGGAGCCCAGGGAGACCTACGAGACAGCACTCGAACCCTGCAGCGCCTCACGCTCCAGAGCGACGCCGGGCTCCGCACGCTGAGCCACATCACGCGCGAGTTCGGGTTCGTGCCCCTCCTGGAGGATTGGGCCCAGGCGCCGATCGAGGCAGGCCGAGAGTACGGCGGGAAGGTGAAGGCGGCGGGCAAGGGCCACGGGCTCGGACCACCTCACGGCCACGTGGCGGCGACATTAGTCGAGGATTTCACGAAGGCGCGCAAGAACAAGCAGGACTTCGACCCGTCGACGCAATGGGTCTTCCAGAGGTACACGGAGTTCCTCGAGCTGCTGGAGCAGCCGTGCGGAGTGACGTTCATCACCGAGATTTTCCTTTAGCGCAAGATCCAGGAGTGCTGCACAAGCCCCCCGACGAGGCCATGGAGACGGGCACGCGCAGGGCGAAGTTCCTCTACTCGATCAACACGCCCCCCTCGTTCCGCGCGGCGCTCCACCAGCAGCAGATCGAGGAGGGCTAGATCACCAAGACCATGGGGTTCAAGGGGGAGCTGTTGAAGCAGGGCGTGGCGTTGGCCCTGGCATACCTGGGCACCGAGAGGAGCCGCTCAGCGGGCCCGAAGGGTGGCCTCTAGAGGGTCGTGGAGGCCCAGGTCAATCGGCGCCGCGGCCAGTAGATTGCCAGCCGCACGCCTCGCAGCCCAGCAACCGCAGGCGCCACAGCAGCGCCTCAGGCCCCGCGAGCACCCACGCGGACAGCGGGCCGGGGTTCACTACCTCCTGGCCCTCAGCAGAGTCTCGAGAGGAAAAACTTGCCAAATCTATTAGTAGCGACCTGGAACGATATACTAAGTTGCGCGGGCAACCCCAAGCCCACGGGGGATACATGGCTCCACTCGCCCAGATCGCTATTTACTGCCCGCGACTTACGATCCAGGAGTTTCTATCAAACGATGGAAAAATAATGAGCCAGCTGGTCTCTCATTACAGTATGCCGTTACTACAGACGGGCCGTCGACGCTCCATTACACCCACTCTTTCTTTGTCATGCACCCCTCCTCTTCCCCCACTGGCAGTAGACACATGTGATAGATAATGTGACCCACGAATCTCGCCAGCCGATGTAGTGCGTTACTACGCGGGGGAGCTGGCGACCCATCAGGGTTACAAATGACAAACAACACGACCGCGGTGCGTCTGTGATCCCATCCCGGCTCTCCTAACCTCTCACAGGCAGCAGTAGCGACTCCGAGTACAAGCACCCTATAGGCCCCACAGGTCCCTGGCCCCCACGAGGCCCACGCGGTGCTCTGAGGCAGTGAGAGTTATCGTGCTCGCGACTACGACGGAAAGAACTTCAGGGGGGCCACGCAGGACTACCAGAGGCTCCCATAACAGACCAGCTGTCACGAATCTTGCAGATTATGGAGGCCCCATAGGGACTCAACGACGACGGCGTGCGACGGGACTATCCCCGACTCCAGCCTTGCCCCACAGGGAACAACTAGGGGGGAATCCAGCCCGACAGCAAGGTCCGACGTCCAACCACTGACGCCTCCCCTCCGCAGCCTTGTCTTCGGCAGCTAGCGAGCTTCTCTTTCCGCGCGCAGCAGCGACAGCACTAGCACACCAGGGCAAGACGATGGCCTCCCACGGCGAGCCAGCGGAGAGGGCGGCGGCGGCAGCAGCGGCGCCGCATGAGCAGAGCGGCGGCGATTACACGCAACAGCCGAAGGAGGACGTCGCGGTGCAGAAGGCAGCAGGCAGAGGCAGCGGTTGACGGGCGCCGTCTCCGGCACCATGGCCAACCGCCTCGCCGCCGCCCACCGCGCCCTGCAGAGCACGGGCGAGCTGCACCCGAAGCTGCTCCAGCACTCGGACACGGTGCAGTACCAGCCCTACGCACAGCGGGACCGCGTCGCCATGGCGCCCGCTCGCATCAGCGCCTCGAAGAGCTTCAACTGCCACGAGGAGATGGGGCGCGCACGCACCGCGGCGCTGCTTAAGATGCAGACCGAGGAGCTCACAGCGGCGATCGGCAAGTCCACGGAGGTCGGGGCCTACCTCACGGACGGGAGCCGCTTGTACAAAGGGTTTTTTCCCGTGGG